TCTCACATGGGATCTGACTCCGCCTACTTTTCCCAGAATTCTCATCTCCTAGACCCGCCTATCTTGCTGCCCTATTGGCCAACAGTGTTTTATTCATCAACCCATAAGAGAAACATATGCACAGAATAACATCTTCCATCACTGGAGGTTGTGTGTTGTTTGCATTAGGGAGAGCTGGTGCTCAGCTGCCCTGAAACTGAGTTCTGCCTGGCAACCTGCTTTTCCAGGCCTACCAAATGGAGCCTGGCATCCCTCCCCCCACCCCAAGGGACCATTAGCTACCTCACAGCTGTTACACATCCCAGTCTCCCTGGAGCTTCCTACTAGTGCCCAGATCCTCTGTCTTCTATGTCTGCCTCTCAGAAACATGAACTTTGAAACACCATTCCAATGATGGAGAATTAGTAGTAAAGGAGTGCTGGGTGTGGCCATTGATAGGTAGCTAGAGTCACCCCAGAAATATTTAACCCTTTTCTGGGGTATATGCTCAGTGACTCCAGGAGCTCTCAGTGAGCCCTACCTCTTGCAAACTTTATCATTTTATCTTACTTTAAATTTGTTTATATATTATATTACTTTATATTTTATTATTTTCGGGGGGGGGGTTCCGAGACAGGGTTTCTCTGTGTAGCTTTGGAGCCTATCCTGGCACTCGCTCTGGAGACCAGGCTGGCCTCGAACTCTCAGAGATCTGCCTGCCTCTGCCTCCCGAGTGCTGGGATTAAAGGCGTGCGCCACCAATGCCCAGCTTGCATTATATTTTAAAGACAGAATCTGCTTCATCCTGTAGCGTAGGCTGGCCCTGAACTTGCTGTGTAGTTCACACTGGGTCTGGAACTCATATTTTCCTGTGTCCACTTCCCAAGAGCTGGAATTAGAGGCACGTTATGTTACTTTTCAGATTTAAAATTTTTAATGATGTAAAGTAATATCAGAGATTTTGTAAAGCTTGTTATGAAAAATAATAGAGGGAGACAGGTAGTGGTGGTGCTCACCTTTAATCCCAGCACACAGTAGGCAGAGGCAGGCGGATCTCTGAATCAAAGTCAACCTGGTCTACAACAGAGTGAGCTCCAGGCCAGCCAGGACTACACAGAGAAGCCCTGTCTCAGCCAGGACTACACAGAGAAACCCTGTCTCAGCCAGGACTACACAGAGAAACCCTGTCTCAGAAAACAAATAAGTAAAGTAATAGAGGGATCATACTTCATCATACAAGATACAACCCCTAAAGAATATCCAAACAATTTGCTCTTTCTGGGTTGTGTCTGTTGCTTTCCCTGTATAGTGTACATCCCTAAACTTGTAGGGGTCTTAAGAGGCACCTCTGAATATTTTTAATTGGGAAAATTTTTTCTCTTTTGTCTTTCAAAAAACGACAAAATAACAATAAAAAGCAAGAAACACACACACACACACACACACACACACACACACACACACACACACACAACCCACACAGAAACAAAAAGAAACAAAAATAACAAGCAAGCAAAAGACCAATAAGAAAAAGAAAATTTGAAACAAAGAAAAATGAAACAAAAAGTCCACAGAAATACTAGTTACTTCATTTTGTGTTGGCCACCTACTCCTGGACACGGGACCTGCCCTGAAGTGACGCTAATATACCCCGTGGGAGTCCATTGGGAAGCTGATTTCTCCTTTGCCAGTAGGCATCAAGTACAGATACCGCCTTCACTGGGGAGCTTCTTGATGAGCGTCGGGAGCTGGTGTCCATCGCCCCGCCCCCCGCCCCCAGTCTGACTTAACCTGTACAGGTCTTGTGCTTGCTGCCACAGTCTGAGTTCATGTGAGCATCCATCCTACTGTGACTGAAAGACATGGTTTCCTTGGGCACATCTGTAACCTTGGACTCTTAAAATAATTCCACCTCGTCTTCCACATAGGTCCCCGAGCCCTGAGGAGAAGAGTTTAAAGAAAACATCACATCTAGGATTGAGTGTTCAAAAGTTTCTCACTGTCTTCAAAGTGTCCAGTTGTGGGTCTCTGTATTAATTCCCATCTACTGTAAGCTTCTCTGATGAGGGCTGAGTGAGACACAGATCTGTGTGGTATAGCAGTATGCCTTTAGAGTTATTTTATTGCCACGTTCCTATAGTACAATAATAGTGTTAGGTTTCTCCCCTAGGCCCATGACCTATCTCATCCGACTCTTGGCCACCTTAGTAGCGTCAGGTGTGGGTTCCCACTCATCAAGTGGGCCTTAAATCCAGTCGAGAGAGTGGTTGGTTCCTCTTACAGTGGTCAGGCCACTGTTACAACGGTCTGTCTTGCAGGCGGGTTGCTGTTGTAAGTTTCAAGGTTTGTAGCTGGGAGGTTCTGATGATCTCTTTTCTATTCTGGTAGCCTTCCAGTACCATGAACACAGTAGGGGGCGAAGATCCTGGTTAGTAGGGGGCGAAGCTCCTGGTTAGTAGGGGGTGAAGCCCCTAGTTAGGCACCACCCCAACTTCTCCATGTTCAATGACTAAGTAAGTCATGTCTTCAGCAATAGGGTCTTACCATCAGGTTTTGGAAAGCAAGAAATAGTCTTGGCAATAGTCTTTGATGTGGGGTTTTCTACAGGACTCCTTTGGCCACCGACTCACAAGCTGTAACTAATTCCTGGCATTGGAGCTTTTATTGGTGGCTTAAGATGTCTGCTTTCACATGTGTGTGTCTTGGGAAGCTTCTACAATGGTAGGTTTCCATATGGTTTTTCAAATCTCCTTTAGTGTGAATTGTCTCTGCCCATCTCTCTCCTTCACCCTTCCCCCGTTTACTCCTGTTCTTTCTGTCTCTCTTTCTGTCTCTCTAAGTCCTACTTCTCCTTCCTTTTGGGAGGTTTGTCATTGTTTCACCAAGGCTCAACTCTCCATTTCTCGATTGTTCTCTTCTGTCTTTTTTTTTCACCTTCATGGTAATTTTTGTTTGCAAGTTCATTTTCCCTAAAGAGCCCTATGAGTCTGTGTTGTTTTGATGGTCTTTCTGACTAGATTTTGTATTTGCTTTTTCCAAGACAATTAACAAGATGGTTCATGGCTTCTTTACTGGGGCTGCCATGTTCTGGGGTTAGTACTCACCGTATGTCTGTCTAGCAGTGTTCCCACATGACCCCATGGTCCTTGATAAGTTGCTAACAGTCATCTTATGTGAGGAGTGGGGTTGGGATGATGACAGTCTCGGATAGGGGCTGGGGAATAACTTTTAAGCTAACACTTCAGAAGTAGTGGAAACATACCAGACCCTAAAATGTGTGTGTGGGATGAGAATTCCACAGAGCCAGTCACTGGTGACAATGGAAACTCGATCCCTGACATCTGTGGGTCTATCGCTAGATGTAGTATTAACTTGTGTCCTTAGGCACAAGGATCTAGCCCCCTGTGAGCATGTTCAATACTGTTTAGAACTAACGGCTTTTGGTTCTGGCAGAAGCTTCCAGAGTTAGGTGAAAGCTATCTTTTTTTTTTTTTTTTTTTTTTTTTTTTACAAGCTCATGATCATCAATCAAAATGGGCAAGGGTGTAGACCATGAGGGAGGCTTTGACTTGGAGGACAGCCTGAAGAGGGAAAGAAGTGATATCAGGGCTTGAAACCAGGGATTTCTCAGTCCACTGAGTGAAGACTGCCCTACTTGGAGGAGTCATGTTAGCTGACAGTGGCAGGCTCACCTTGGGAGACAGTGGGCTCTGAGGACTGTAGGATGGGTGCTGTACTAGTTACTTCTCTAGTTCCCTTTCTGTTGCTTTGATTAAAGTTTTCAACCAGAAGCAACTTGTGAATGAAGGGATTTATTTGGCTTATGCTTCTAGGTCACAATCCATCATTGAGGAAAGTCTAAGCAGAGACTCAGGAAGGAACACTTTCCTGGCTCACTCACTGCTCAAGCTTAGCTTTATACAACCTGGGGCCTAGGAATGACATCACCCATAGTAGACTGGGCCCTCATGCTTCAATTCATAATCAAGACAGTCCTCACAAACATGCCCACAGGCCAATCTCATCTAAACAATTCCCTGACGAAGGTTTTCTTCTCGGGTAGCTCCAGACTATGTCAAGCCGACTAATTAGGACAGTTACTTTCCATTCTCTGTGATAAAATACAGCGACTTAAGGGAGACAGGGTTTGTCTCAGCTCACAGTTTCAGAGTTTTCGGTTACAGTTTACCACAGTGGAGACCTTGAGACAGATTATCCCATGACGCCCCCAGTCCAGAAGCAGAAGGGGATGGATGCACACTGGTTGCGTCTCAGCTGACTTTCCTCCGTTCATGCATTTCAGGACCCAGCTCAAGGAACAGTACCATTGACAGCAGGCAGGTGTTCCCACTGCAATTTACCTGATCAAGATACTCTCCTGTAGGCATGATCCCAGGTGATTCTAGATTGTGTCAAGTTGACATTTAACAGGAAATGTCACAAGGGCCTTTTCTTGGGGTGGTGGTGGTCAGAGGTCAGCTTCACTGGTGCCATCAGGGAGGCATCTCTCAGGATAAAGCCTAAGATGAGTCATCTTTAAAGTTATGCTTATTCGGAATGTCAAGGGATTAGAGTGAGAACGCACTAAGCAATGAGAGATATTCTTGCTAAGCTTTCGAATCCCACCCACACCTTGATGAATCCTGTCCTTGGTCAGGGCTTGAGCCGATGGCTGGGCTAGGAGGTATGATTGGACCCTTTTTCTGTCTCTGGACCTCAGAGATATTGCCCACCTCACACCCACTCCATCCAGAGAATTATTTGCTGTCCCCGAAGACTTAGCCAAAGATCCCCAAAAGCCTTGGTTGCCTATGTAAGCGCCACCCCATGCCTGTCTAGGCCACAGCCTCTTGGTTTTCATGACACAGCCAACCTTGACCTAACCGTCTTAAGACCAACATGGCATTTTATTGGAATGAATCACAACTTAGCTCCTCCTCCAGAAGGGGCTACTTTTGGATCCTGAGGACTGGCCTTGGAGAAGGACAGACTGTCCACATGCAAGGCTAGGTCTAGAATTCGAGGCCTTAAATCCATGGCTGCTCCACTCAGCAAGCAAACTCAAATCCAAAATGTTCTGGGGAACCTGGTCCTCAGGGATCTAGACTGAGTACTTCTTTGTTGGTGAGTTTCTCCAAGGCTGTGTTGAAGAACCTGCCTGCTTCTGATTTTAGAGGCAGGGCATTGAGAATGGTATTTTTTGTCACTTCATCATTCACAACATCAGACATTGACTCCTCATCTATTACCATTGAAGCAATGTCCTGGTTTTTCCTCTTGGATTCAGTAGAATCTTTTTGGGTGCTGAGAAAAATCATGAGACATTATTAGTCAGGACCTCTTCTGAGAGAGATGGGTTTTCTCATTCATCTAGGTCCTCAGCTAAGCACAGTCTCTTCAGATCAGGCTGACTCCATCTCCCAACCCCAACTAGACCCCTCTCTTTCCTGTAATTCTGGAGTATGTCTTAGCATGTTTGTCACTGGCTTTCACTGAATACCTGCCACATGCTGGACCTTTTACAATGTGGGTTTAATCTTCTCATAAAACTTTTAAGAGAAGAGGTCCTAACATGGAGTGAATTTACCTCACCTTAGTTTCCTCATCTCCAAGGACAATGCCCCAATCTGGATAGGCATATGGGGTGGGGCATAGAGAGGAAGCATGGGCAAAGAAAGCCCAACAGAGGGAGAATTTGAGCCGAACCCAGGCAAGTGACCATATCCAGAAGATGTGGGATGCTGCTTTGAACAGGGAGAGCTTCATGCCACAGGCCCTCTTGTTATTGAGATGGACAGTGTCTGCATACTCTTCAGTGCCCAGACCTGAGACAAGGGGACCCTGCTCATCTACCTTGGACTGTACTCGATGCTATCACGGAGAGGGTGGTCTCCTGTTTCTGGCACCAAGGAGGCAAAGCACAAGGCCACAACGCAAGACAGGCAGCAGAAGAAGATGGGCAGTTGTGTTTTGACCTGGTTGAAGACTGCTAGAGCTGTGATGGCTCCAGCCGCCCAGGCGAGAGACACCATGCCCAGACCTGTAGACCTGAAAGTGAGTTCAGAGCTGGGTTACAAGACTTTTTAGGCTCAGAGGATGGGGAACAGTGAAAGGGAGATGCCACCTAAGACCGTATACTCTGCTCTTTACCCTCTCCAGCCCAGTGTGTGACCTTGGAGAGCCTAGTTCCTCAATGACTTAAGAAAGGTAGTTTATTTCTCCTGGGCCTCCTCCTTGGATATTGAGAGTGAGAGTTACTAATTGTGTATACATTGTAACGGCATATGATCATATCAGGAAGGGCTAAAGCCCAGGGCTTAACAGGAGCTCCAGCCTCGGGGTGACCCAAACATATCCCAGACATCTGGTGTGGGCTGGTCAACTTGACACACCTAGAGTCATTTGGGAAGAGAGAGCCTCAGTTGAGCAAATGCCCGAGACAGATTGGAATACAGGCAAGTGGGTGGGGTCATTTCCTTGACTTATGTGGGAGGCACCAGCTCACTGTGAGCAGTGTCACCCCTGGGAAGGTGGTCCTGGGGTGTGTAAGAAAGAAAACTGAACAGTCCTTGAGGAACAAGCCAGGAAGCAGCACTCCACCATGGCTTCTGATTTAGTTCCTGTCCCAGGTGCCTCTCCTGAGTTCCCTTCATGAAGGTATGCTGTGGGGTGAGACAAAGCCTTCCATCCCCAAACTGCCGGGGGTCCTGGATCTATCACAGTGATAGAAAACACATGAGGACAAGGTGCCAGGCAGGGGCTGGAGGCAGATCCTATGTATGTTCGTTATTCTTTGTCAATCTGACAAAGTCTAGAATCAGATGGGAGACTGGCCTCTGAGCATGATTGTAGGGATCAAGTTAACTGAGATGGGAAGACTCACCCACTATAGGTGGCACTGTCCCCTTGGCAGGGACCCTGTACTGTGCAAGTGGAGAAAGGGAGTAAAGAGTGCATGCTTGCATGGGGAGTAAACAGTGCATGCGTGCTCGGGGAGTAAACAGTGCATGCGTGCTCGGGGAGTAAACAGTGCATGCGTGCTCGGGGAGTAAACAGTGCATGCGTGCTCGGGGAGTAAACAGTGCATGCGTGCTTGGGGAGTAAACAGTGCATGCGTGCATGGGGAGTAAACAGTGCATGCGTGCATGGGGAGTAAACAGTGCATGCGTGCATGGGGAGTAAACAGTGCATGCGTGCATGGGGAGTAAACAGTGCATGCGTGCATGGGGAGTAAACAGTGCATGCGTGCATGGGGAGTAAACAGTGCATGCGTGCATGGGGAGTAAACAGTGCATGCGTGCATGGGGAGTAAACAGTGCATGCGTGCATGGGGAGTAAACAGTGCATGCATGCTCGGGGAGTAAACAGTGCATGCATGCTCGGGGAGTAAACAGTGCATGCATGCTTGGGGAGTAAAGAGTGCATGCTTGCATGGGGAGTAAACAGTGCATGCGTGCATGGGGGGTAAACAGTGCATGCGTGCATGGGGAGTAAACAGTGCATGCGTGCATGGGGAGTAAACAGTGCATGCATGCTCGGGGAGTAAACAGTGCATGCGTGCTTGGGGAGTAAACAGTGCATGCGTGCATGGGGAGTAAACAGTGCATGTGTGTAGGGATCTTCCTGGCTGTGCTGTCGTGCACTGAGTTACTTGCCTGCCCCACCATAGTGATCTGTTGCTGTGAACTGAGAGCCAGAATAAACTCCCTTTCCTTAAGTTACGTTTGTCATGGTGACAGAAAAGAAACTAAGACACCTTTAGCACAAACTGCAGCCCCACTACCTGCTCTACAACTTAGAACAAGGGCTCTTTATGTCTTTGATTTTGTCAACTCAACGGAGGTCAATGACAGATATCTTTCGGGTTTTGTTTTCTGATGATAGCTGGGTGAGCCAATCCATTCGAACTACATTTAACACAAGTGATTGTTTCCTGACACGTGCTTGTTACTGTCCCATGCCCCTGCCCCCCTCAGCCCGGAACACTCCATACCTGAGGACGGTGGGAAGGAGCTCAGCGGTGTAGATGAAGAACACAGTCACAGTGGCAGCCAGGCTAAACTCTCCGAGCACAATCATCAAGATTATTGTTGACCTCAGCTCTGAGTGAAGACAGCGTGGCCCTGAGTCTTGGGCCACCCTCCCTTTGGAGCCCTCCAGCCTTCTCTCGGTCTCTTCCCAAATGCAGCTGAATGGCCCACACTACCACTTGGTCACCTAGCCAGCAAACTCAGACATTCAGCACAGGAAGGGCTGATATGCTTGGGCCCAGCCAGTCCTGAAGTTACTACAGGGGGAGAGTTGGACAGAGGTAGGGGCAGGCCAAACCCTATTTAGGGGGATAGGGTCTCTCAGTGAACCTGTAACGTTCTGATTCGGCAGAATTGGCTGGACAGCAAACCCGAGATCCTGCCATCTCTTTCTCCCCAAGACCCCAGTGTGGCAGCGCTGTCCTGCGGCTCTTGACACGAGTGCAGGGTATTCAAAGTCAGCCATTTATGTCCATGCAGCAAGCACTTCACCAACTGAGCCACGTCTCCAACCCCCAGACTCCTATCTCCAGAATCCTATCCCTAGTTCTTGCCCACACATGAGATCTGTAAATCTGCTGGCTGGATTCAGTGCTTGGCTTAACAGCAACAATAGTGTCACTAACAATAAAGTAGGCTGTAGAAACCTAAAAATGTTTCATTTTGTTGTAACTAATCAGTATCTGCTGACATCTGGGGGGATGCTGGGAGGCGTTCTCAGAGACAGAGGGGGCTCTTTAGGAAAACATGCATTGCAGCCCCCCTAGTGGGCACTGGCCATTGGTGGGGCACCACAGCTCTATGCACTCCAGCCCACAGACTGAGCCGTGGTGACTGCCCAGGGATCTTTGAAATGCTGGAGATAATACTGAGCACCAGAGGCCAGGCAGTGAGCCCCTGAGAAAGACTATCGCATGGGTCCAATACAGCAATCACCAGTGTTCAATTAGATCATCCTAGCCATCAATCAAAGGCTGCAAACACGGGGCGGGGTTAGCTAAAAGAAGATTTTTGCCACCGTCTTTTCTCACTCAGTAGATATGCTTCTGGTGGGGGCTGGAATGGGGTCACAGAGATTACCTGCCCTCACACTTAAGGATAACTTATTTGGATAACCTGAGCTTGTCTCTGGGGCCTCTGAATGTGGGTACATGCTGTCTTGGGGGCTGGGGCTTCCTCGGGGAGGGCAAATGATACATGCAGGAAGTCAACTTGTGTGTGCTTAGCTGGCCAGCCAAGATAAGAGAAACTAGGGAGAACTTGAAGAAGTGAGAGGTCTGGAGGCAGCCTTCCTGGCATGTTGTACCTTGAGGGAGGAAAAGGAGAAACAAACAGAAGACGGTAGCTAGGGTGAGGCTCAGGTAGAGACTACACTTCCTTCCAAAGTACTCCAGGAGAACAACGCAACTCAGCCGGGCTGGCACTTCCATAATGCCTGGGATCACTTGTCTGAAGTAGTTGTCTATCCCCAAATCCTTCATCTTGAGGCTCAGTGTTAAATAGATGTAACTGACGGTATACCTGGAACAAAACAGTAAGATAGCAAGGGAGAGAGAGAGGAGGAGGAGGAGGGGGAGAAGAGAAAGGAAAAAGGGAAGAGGAGGGGGGAGGGGCGGGAAGAGGAAGAAAAGGAGGGAAGGAATATCGAGTGTCAGGAGGAACAGGACAGAGAGAGGCAGAGAGGTGTGCTGTAGGAACGACATAGAGACAGAGACATGACCCTAGGCCTGGCCAACCTCCATGCCGCCCCTCAGTTTGCAGCTCACCCTGGACACTCACCACACGCAGGCCATGGATAAGACCACCTTGAAAAGGTGCTGATTGGTGTAGAAGTCCAGGATGGAGGCTTTATTAACCTTCTTTCCCTGCAGCTGCAGCTACAAGACAGCAAGACCAGCCAAAGGCAGAGGGGCCCCAGCTTGCCCTCCGTCCACACACACCAGGTAAGACCTGCCCCTCCCACGGTGCTAGCCACTTTCTAGCCTTGGCAGGCAGGGCTTAGCTTTGTTGTCGTCACTCAGAAGCAGTAGACTAAGGCCCCGTGAAACGGTGAGGGAAGAGGCCTTCCCATGGTCTCCAGCCCTGGCCTCACTCCTGGCCCGAAGCCTCTTACCTCATTGAGTAGATTGAAAGGTATGGTCTTCTTGTTCACCTCTGCTGCATAGCACAGCACCTTCCTGGCCTCTTGCACCTTCCCTTTCACCATCAGCCACCGTGGGGATTCTCGGAGGACCCTGTGTGGCCCACCTCTCTCTTACTTCAGAATTCCAGGGTGGCCCAAAGCCCAGTGGCCCTCCAGCTGAGATGTCTCAGCTGTGGCCATCTGTAACAGTGTGTGACCAAGGAACCTTTAAGGCCACCACCAACCTCAAGATGCCTTCTGCTCCTTTATGGCAGCCAGCCCTTCTTACATTAGCCTCCACAACCCCCACTGATGCACAGTGGAAGTACCCAGCCCCTGATCCCTTTACCCTGTGGTCTCTTACTACCCCGATCACCTCTCAGCTCTTAGGTTCAAGGACACACCTGAGTTTCATCCTTCATGCCTGCCCTCTCTCTGAGAGCTATAGTGTAGCTTTTGCCCTCAGGCTTGGCATGGCCACCACTGCCATGAAGCAGAATGGCTGTGGTGACCTACAGCAAGCATTCCTTGGGCCAGGGTTGTGGCAACAAAATGAAAAGGACTAACACTACAACAGCTAACTCTGCTCTGAAGGTGGTAATATGGCTGTTGAACGTTCTAGTGTTTTCCCTTCTACCCACTGCTGTGTAGTAGCAGGGTCTTAGAAATGCTGAAGTATACAGAAGGTAAAAACCTGACTAAGGGTGGTGTACTTGGTGATACACCTGTCTGTGGGCTGCCCGTGTGCAGCAAGGAATGACAATAAGCTCATGAATTTGCCAAACTGGACTTGATAAACCTTTCTTTGGTCTGCTGGTCTTTTCATTACTAGGGGTGATTAAATGTGTTTTTTACATCTCTCTAGAAAGAGTACACAATAATTGATGCTTGCACAACAGGGACTTAACAGTAACAATGAGAGGTGGGCATGGTGGCATACACCTATAAACCCAGCATTTGGGAGACTGAGATGAAGGAATATTGCAATTTGTTTGGGCTAGCCTGGACTACATAAGAGTAATAGTAGGCTAGCCAAGACTACAAAGCAAGACTCAGGTTAAAAGAAAAAAAAAAGCAGATATATTATGTGAGAAAAAAAAGTCAATCTTCAATAAAAGGAAAAAAACAAGCAAACAAATAAGAACTGAACAGTAGAGGGCTATGGAGATGGGTCCATGGTTAAAGGTGCATGCGGCTTTTGCAGAGGACTTAAGATCACTTTCCAGCAGCAGTGTCAGGTGGCTCACAATAGCCTGTAACTTCAGCCCCGGGGAACTGACAACTTTTGTCTGTTTCCTGCAGACATGTGCACCATAGTCACACACACACACACACACACACACACACACACACACACACCCCTACATCCAATATTTGTTTTTACAAACAGCAGCAAAGACGACCCATGGGGGGGGGGGGCATCCCTGGAGGAAATCCTGGGACAGCCATCTTGTTCCATGTGGTGTGTGCTGGCATTCCTTCCTTGACAGACGTGGTTTCAGGGTGTCTCCCCAAAGGCCAGTGGACTAGAAAATATGTGTGGCCCCTGGAAGTGGCACAGAGCTGTGGGGGAAATGTTAGCCATGCCCTATCAGGGGCTGGCACAGGTGTGGGCGTGCCAGTGACGTAGCAAGACCTTAATTATGAGGGTTGCAAGAAAGCTGCTCTCGGCGGCGAGAACTCTGAATCCTAACCCCTAGAACTCTCAAGGGCTGCAGGCCATCTCGGGAGTGCCGAGTCCAACCCCCAAGAACACGGGACAGTTCGAGCACATGGAAGCTGCTCCAAGGCCACACAGCAGCTCCACAGGGCGGGCTGCAGTGGCCAGATCCCTGCTTCTGACACCATTCTGTTACAGTAAGTCTTTACTCCAAAGCCACCCGAGCCCTGCAGCCACGTGGGCGCTTTCTGCGGGGGCCACCCAAGTTCTGCCTGCCACCACGTTAAGGTCCCAAGTAACACACAGAGACTTATATTAGGTACAAATGCTGCTTGCCCAATGACTAGAATTTCTGATCTGCTGGCCTAATTATCATAAATCTATATATTTATAAGACTTATCTTATGGGACGCCAGTGGAAGCATCCTGTCTTCCTGGGCTCACATGGTGACTCTGTGCTTTCTCCTACATTTCCCAGAATCCTCCTTGACTCCGAGTCCCACCTATCTTGTTTCCCTATTGGCCAACGGTACTTTATCAACCAATAAGAATCATATACACAGAAGGACCTCCCCCATCACAGAGCTGAGATGGGTTGCAGGACATGCAACAGAAGCGAAGCTGCCTGTCCAAAGGGAACTTGCCTCTAGCGAGTGGAGAAGTTGCAAAGGGGAGAAGAGGGGAGACAGAGACAGGTGGCATTTTGTTTTTATGTGCTGAGGTATCGTAAGGGGGAGATTATAAATTACATCCTTGCTGAGAAGCCCCTCCTGGGATTCGAAGCCTTGAAACTCAAGGGAAAGATTGGATGATGAGGAGAGCAAGCACAGGGTGGGAGTGACAGGAGATATCTCTGTCAGATAGCTCAAACCTTACATTACAGAGCTAGGCCACTGCTCTGCCCAGGGAGGTTTCTGAAGCCTCCTAAACCATACAGGCTGTTGCTACTGCCACAGTTGCCTGCCAAAACAGGATGCTTACTCCCTAACGCCAAAGATACCGCATGCTCTGGTGTCAGGAAAACAAATTGAGCTAAGTCTGAGCTGTGAGCTTCCTCCTTACTGGTGAGTGATCATAGTTTTTGAGGGCATTATGCAGGCTCCTGGGAGAGAACTGCCATCACCAATCCGCTTGCTCAGTACTAAGCTGTTTATCAGCGTGGCTCTGGCATAAGAGGGGCACAGCAGTCACAGATGCAACCAACCACCTCCATGTTGGACTTAATGCTCAGTCTGAAGGAGGGGACCCATGTTTGGTTACAGTAATCAGACAGAAACTTGTGGCTCGGGAAGTGGTAAGCTCCAATGGGGACCTTACCACTACCGCTTTGTTAAGCCAATACAACATGCCTGCCAAATTGTTCTGTAGGCATTTATGACTGCGCTGCTGCTGAATGCCACAGCTGAAGGAGAATTTCTTTCTACATTGGGTGGTTGTTACTGCAGAGACTCAGTCAAATGACTGAGAATAAGTGTCTGTTGCTACAGCCTACACTGGCTGTAGCTTATGTGGGCCAATCCTCGGGCTCAAGTGAAGGAATATATACATTCAAAAGCCTCCCCAAGGCTCTGGGAACACCGCAGAAGAGTGGGCAAGTTGGAGAGTACGTAGTGCTTTACAGCCAGGGTCATGAAGCCAAGCGGCTGCAGTGACCTACAGCAGAGCTTGGCCCACAGTGGTGGCAACAAAATAAACATAATATGTAGCAGATAACTAGGTTTATGGTCATGGGCTGCTAACATCTTCTCTTAGAACAAGGGTGGCCTCCTGTGTGCACCAGGCAGGCAAGTGGTGCCCAGACATGCAGACAAAACACTCACACACGTAAAATAAAACTTAAAAACAAAAAACAGGTTCTCTAAAAGAGGGGGACATAGATGGAGTACCTCTAACTCAGAAGGTACTAAGCTCTAAATGCTTGCATCCCCTGTGGTAGTTAACATCACCTGTTCACCTAGGAGATAACCCCGTGTGTGTGTGTGTGTGTGTGTGTGTGTGTGTGTGTGTGTGTGTGTGTGTATGTAAAGGGATTTCTACATTAGGTTAATTGAGCTGGCAATACCCACCCTAGATGTGGGCACTGTCCCATGGGTCTGGTTCCTGAACTGAATAAAAAGGGAAAGGTGAGCTGAAGACAAGCCTTTCCCCCCCACACACACACACACGGACTGACTTGGATGCAACATGCCAGCGGCCTTAGCATGTCCTGATGAATTGTACCCTGTAGCTGTCAACCAAAACCAATCCTTCCTTCCTTCCTTCCTTCCTTCCTTCCTTCCTTCCTTCCTTCCTTCCATTGTTTTGGCAAGGATTTTGCCACAGGAATGGGAATTGTAATGAATACAACCACCCTCACTGTTGTTGCCATGTCTTCCAAGTTGAAACAAAACATTCTTTCTTGGAAGACCCCTCCGGGAACTTATAAAGTTACAAGACCCATCCCAAGGTTACAAAGGCAGTTAGATTGCACAGTGCCATTCAATCTCAGGGCTTTTCTCGTTGCTATGGTACAATGTCCAGTAAAGCAACTTAAGGAAGAGGGTCTCACAGTAGGAGGGTCTACCATGGCAGGAACTTGAGGCTCCTGGTCATGTCATGTTTGTACTTTTTCCTTTTGATACAGTCTGGGTCCCAGGCCAGGGAATGCTGCTGCCCACAGTGGACTGATCTTTCCATCATGGCTCAGAGACCTGTCTCCCAGAGGACTCCAGACCTCGTGCTGTGCAGTGTGTTTAGAGAAATGTGGGAGGCAGCCCTAGCTCAGAGGGTCCTGGACTCAAGTTCTCACAGCACAAAGAAGGCCGAGGAAGTGAAGGACCTGGGGACCGAGAGGAAGTTCTTCAAACGGGGACAAGAAGGCAGCAAAGGGAAGGGGAAATGATGTAATTATATTATAATCTCAAGAAAAGTAATTTTAAAAAGGCAAGAATTCCAGCCTCCAGACTTGACGGAGAGTGTCACAGCTAGACTTGGCCTTGGGATCCTTGGAGGAAACAACTAAATAGAGTGTGTCCCACAGTGTGGCCAGTGAGCCAGTCACCACTGGAAATGTTAGTGTAGATTCTTAGACTCCTATGAGGCCAGCTGCAGGTCAGACACTGGGGGTGGGGTCCAGCTGCAGGTCAGACACTGGGGGTCAAGATTCAGGTGCTGGTTGGACACTGAAGGGTTCAGACAGATACCTAGGCCACATCATGGCTACGTCACTCATTATAGGGCTGCACAGGGGACTCAGTGCACGTGTGTGAGCTTCCCCTTTTAAACCTGCAGCATTATTCTCCTCTCTCCATCTCTTTCCGGCTGTCAACCTCTCTCTCTCTCTCTCTCTCTCTCTCTCTCTCTCTCTCTCCCTCTTTACTCTCTGCCCTGCTCCGTTCTTCGCCTCTCTCCTCTCTGTCTCTCCTCTCTTCTCTTCTCTGTCTCTCCTCTCTGTCTCTCCTCTCTGTCTCTCTCTCTCTCTCTCTCTCTCTCTCTCTCTCTCTCTCTCTCTCTCTCTGTATGTGTCTGTGTAATAAACTGGTTAATGTGCTCTCTATATCCATGTCCACCTCTCAAATTTCTAATTTAAGCAAAAGAATAACAGACCCTAGGGGTGGGGACTCTGAAACCAGTGCCAAAGAAACACACTTTGTCCCTAGAATCAGAGCCAGTGAAAGTAATACACCCTGGCCCTAAAACTAGAGCCAAAAGGCTAAAAAGGAACAGTGAAAGAAACACACTTTGGCCCTGAAACTAGAGCCCAAGCTGGCCCTAAAGCCCATGGAGAAAACTAACCAATCCCTGAACAGGACAGCTAGCCAATCAGTTCAGGGATTCAAATTGGGCCAATCCCCGCCCCCTGGAAAAACTATGTAAACCCTGTGTCCAGGAAAGGAGAGAGAAAAATCCCTGAAGGAGCTTTGAGTGAAGGCGGAGTGGGGGGCGGAGGGGCAGTCGAACAAAGCAAGCAACGTTGTAACACTTCTGTCAGGGGAAACTTTCCCTGACAGAGCAGAGTTGTTACACTCGGGGGACTGGAGCCGAACTGTAACAACTTCGCAAGCGAAGCCCTTTTCTGCTGGAGCAGAGCTATACACTGGGGAAGCCCCCCTTGAAACAGGGCTTTGAGGGGCTGCGCTTACTGTGACCTGTGGTTTTCCTTGGCTCTGGAGCTCCAGGATACCTTTCCAACTGAGCTGTGTAACACTCATTATCCTGTGACTCCCGAGTTCCAGGATACCTGTCCCATCTGAGCCATACAAAAGGTCCCAAGCTACTTTCATGGCCCCTGCTGTAACTCATCGCCTTGTCTTTTATACTTATGGATGGTGCAGGCAACTACAGTCCGGAGCTCTGGGGTCACATCCGAGGTCCCAGCTCACCCAGGTTTCCTATGTTATCTCCACCGCCTGAAGCCTCGATTCTACTTCCTGATGCCCATCAGAGTTGTGGAGATTTTTAGCTCATTTTTAGTCTCATAGCTCCTTCTCAGCCTCGACTCCCCTCTCCTCAGACAGAGCCAGCACACTGTTGTCCCCTCCTTGTTCCTGCCAGCTTCGCTACGAGTGGTACCTTCACAGCCCCACCCCTCAGATTCCTGTCTGTAGTACCCCACATTTAACAACAGCAAAGAGCTTGAACAATTCTCAGCTGACCAAAGTCTCTTTTCCTTTTCCCCTGAGGGGTTATTTTTGGGGGGCCTCCATTTGCTCATCCCCTCCATCCCCTGTGCTGTGCTTCCGGCCCTTCTCCAGTGAGGTCACCTCAAGAAGGTGACGGGAGGCCATCCCACGTTTGTCAGTCTTACCTCTTCACCCCGACCCTTGCCTGCCTTTGGACCTCTGTCACTCCCCCTGCTTTTCTGATTCATACCCCAGTGGCATTTCCTTCAGGCTCTTCTCTGAGGGTGGTGAAGGCCTTTGGCTCCTTCTCAGTCATCATACATGTCCCACACACTTCTTGCCCCCTCCATTTCCACCTGGGAGCCCCATCCTGTGTCTGCCCTTGCACGGGCTTGCTTACCAGATGTTGGAGATGAGAGGTAACATGGGCACACCGCCCATCAGGAACAGCAGCCGCCAGTGGAAGATTTTGTAGGCGCACCCCGACAGGAGCATGATGCCCACAGAAATGAAGCAGTGCTCCAGAACCACGGCATGGGCCCGGTGATCACCCACCAGCCACTCCATGACTGTGCAGAGAACACGAGGACAACACCGGGCTCAGTTCAGTCTTCCATGCGGCTGGATGGCATGCCCACCAGCCCTGGACAGTTCAGACCAGACAAAATCTCTTCTGTCTGATCCATATTTTCAGATACCTCTCAGAGTTAGAATGTCCCCATGTCCCCCAGTGCCTTTATGAACCTCCTCAGACCTACACACGCCCTTCCATTTCTTCTGCCCCCAGCCACCCCCTCTAAAACTTCTGCCTAACTTGCTCAGGGCATCTCATGAGGTCTTGCGCATGCTGAGACAAGGAGCCACTTGCTTAGAGTATATTAGTGCTTTGGTCTCCTTGGGCTAAGGCTCTGTAGAGAGTTAGTTCCCTTTGGCCATGCTCTGGCATGTTCCCAATGAGAAGAGGGGCCAGAGAGCCCCTAGAAAATGAGGGACTTCGGGCATTTGAGTCTAAGTATGGGTGTAACCACACTGGAGGTGTTAGCATCACACAGGCCTGCGTAGACCCCAGCTCCTTCCTGCTGCGTGGTCCTGAACAAGTTGGCTAACTCTAAGGCTAGGGATGAAATAAACAACACATACAAGGGCTTAGCAGCTCCCTTGATTCTCAAGGTGCAAGATACACAAGGAGCATGAGGGGTACAAGGGAATTCTATGAGAGTCGAGAGCCCTCCCTTCTGACTCTCTCCCACCTCTGGGCAGCCAAGAGTGGAGCCTATTACTCCTTCTCCACTGGGTTTCCCTGAGGCCTGTTGTCTCCCCGTAAGCTCTTGTTGGCCCGTCCCTCCCAGATAGATCTGCCTCCTGCCCTCTCTTGAGCTGCATCCCTCTCCACCCCAGCTTCCCCCTTGAGAGTCAGTCACCTAATGACACACTGCTGATGGCATAGCCCACGGCTACCTGGGCCATACCAAAGCGGAAGAACAGGTACTGGTAAAAGCTTTTCACAAAGGCAGCCCCAAAGCCAAAGACGAGGAGCCCCAGCAGTGACACCAGGATGGTTGGATAGCGGCCCATCCTGTGGATGTAAGGAGGAGAAGTCACAGAGGGTCACACTTCCCAGCCAGGCTCTGTGTTACCACAGGGCTTTGTCTTCCCCAGATTGAGACTCAGAGTCCGGTGGGCTGTGCCATCCCCTGGCAGAGCATCCCAGAGATCAGTGGCGGAGACTCACTTGTCGCTTAAGAACCCAAAGAGGAGAGACCCCGTCAAGATGCCCGCGAGGAACACGGTCTGCATGTTCTCCATGTTTGGTTCATTGCCACACACCAGGTCAAACTGTAGGAGAGACAAAGGCACTGGTCACAGCCCTCACACAGACCTATCCTTTCGGGAACACAGACTGAGCTCAGCCCAGAGGGAAACCCTTAGGTCAATGGTTCTCAACCTTCCTAAAACTGCAACTCCCGTGAAAGGGTTGTTTGACCTCTAAAGGGGTTGTGACCCACAGGTTGAGAATGGCTGCCTTAGGCAGACAGCACCCAGGGAAAGGGACAGGTAGTTCTATGTAACTCTGCTACCCCTGGGCCCTTCCTATCTGCCCAGCACCTGGTAGACCCTGTAGCTCACACTGGAGAGAAGAAGTGAAGACACAGGGCAAGAAAGGGGATTGGTGGGACTTATTAAGCCTGGGCACAAATACTGGTCCTGGGCTCCAAGTTTCCTTCCCATGGACAGCTCTGTGCTGAAAGGGCCCAAGCCTCAACTCAGGGTGTGAAGCCCTGTGAGAAAAGCCCAACCCAAGATTTTTCTTTTCCTTCTCTAGCTTCTGTGCAGTCTGTTGGTTGTCTTCTGACCCATCTCCCTTGCTCTGTACTCTACTGCTTCAACCCAGGCTTGGATCCAAGGACTGACAGATGTTGGAAAGAAGACAGAGGAACAGAATAAAGACACCCTACACACAGCTACCTGTGCCCCATCCCAAAGTGCCCAAGGGGTTTCCCGTGACCGGAAGTTAAGGGCCACAACCCGAGAAGCAATTCTCTGGACAGTTGGCAAGCCTGTCTCTAAGCCAAGATGCATTCTGGATTCCTGGCTAAGAAACGCAGGGACCAGGGATGGGGGGCGGCACCCCACCTTCCTTCTCTGGTGAAACTCTGCAGAGTGTGCCACCTCTCCTGGGTAGCCATAGTCAACACAACACAAGACAAAAGCATACCTCGTTGATCAGAGAGCGTGTCTTAGCATAAGGGTAGATCCACCCAAATTTGCAAGTTTCTGTATAATTGAGACCAAAATGGATGATGGAATCTAGATCCCACGGCACAGGTATGTACATGAGGCATGTCAGGAAGCTGCCATTGGGTGCTCGGGGCAGAGTCAAGTTCAGCTGTTCATCCAAGGAGAGATTGGGGCCCACTGCCAGGATCCAGCTGGTGTTACAGTAAGGCCTCTGGGCTGTGAGCATGAAGTGATCAGAGAGCAAGAAGTAGGATGACAGCATGCTGGGGATGAACGTGAGGACCACCAGCCTCCACTGGAAGGCGCCAAACTCCCCCACGGCGCTCAGAACACTGGCCAGCTTGTCTTCCCTCTTGGCATCGATGGCCTTCAGTCTGCGTAGCAACATCTCCAAGGACCAGGAATGGGAGGGGAAGGAGACCTCATTCCGGTTTGCGGTCCTGGCATTCTGGTATCCGAATGCTGGCCTGGAATGGTGATCTTCCATCTGCTCAAGAAAGGATGCCGTCAGTCCCCTGTCACTGTTTCCTGTCATCAGACCCCAGGATGGGAGCCAAGGGACAGTGAGTACATGGTCCCTTCCTCTCCTTCCAAAGGCTCTCAGTCTGTGTAATGCATTCCTGCCGGCTCAACCACCCCACGTTTAGTGCAATGGACATGTTGAGTGTTCTAGAGAATGTTCTCCTTGAGAATGCCATGAGCTCTCCGACAGCTGCCTCACAACAAATTGCTCACACACCTGAACCATCACTAGACTGTCCAAGGTAGCAGATAACGTCAGGGATTCCCTCCTTCAAATACATAAATATGTAATGACGTAAAATAAACACCCGAATCAGGATCGGCAAAGGCCTGGGAACCAAGAGGAATGGCTTGGAGCCAGGCTGGGATATAGAACACCAAAGCGGGGGAGGCTGACAGGAACATGGAGACAAAGTGGTACAGCAGGTGAGGGCAGGGAGGGGTGGGAGCAATACTCAGGACACTACCTTGGGATGGAGTAAGGAGCAGAAACTAAGCCTAACCCCGTGTTTACAGCCAAAATTCTTCAGCAGCACTGAAGAGGCTATGGTTTGGAAAGGCTTCAGCTACTTTTTCTGTGGAAACATTCTGCAAGATGAGGCTGCAAGATTCACAAAGACCAATGGCAAACAAAGACTGTGGCCTGAGAAGACAAGCCACGATGAGATGACCAGACACTTCACAGGCCAGATGATGAGTGTCTGAGCATAAGACAGGCCAAAAGGTGTTTGAAATAAAAATACTAAAGGGGAAAGTTAACCCTGAGAGTTAGTGAGCTGGCATGTATAGCTAGCATGTGGCGAGGGAAAAGGATTTGGTAGGTGGAAGTTAGGATGGGTCTAAACACAAAGTCTACAGAGAAACAGAAAGGGCCACAAATAGAAACATTTTTCTCCAACTAGAAAACCATAAACCAAAGCATTCAGGAAACCCAATGCTTCTCTTAAACACAGCAGCAGCTAGACACACTATGGAAGACTTAAATTTAGCACAGAAACTGACCAAGGCTGCTACTATGACTTAGTGCCTGGAATTTACCAGCCATCAGCAATTACTCCCTTACAAGGCCATAAGATAACTGGGTACCAAGAATTCCCAGATGGCCAACCTCCCCAAGGGGCTCATGAAGGAAACAGATTGCCCCACTGGCCAATGTGTCAATCATTAACAATTAAGGGTCCCTGTGAAACAAAGAGATAGCTACAATTTGCTCAGGCAAGATAAGCACATCCTGAGGTCTGCAGGTTTTACAACTGGTGGGTCAGGAGGTCATCTGATTCCCAGCCCTCTCCTCAAGACAAAGGGCCTCCTGGGAACCCATGACTGGTCACACCCCTCCCTAAGTTTGTGGTTTTTGCCTTTAAAAACACCTGTGCCTGGGGGACGCGGCTGCTCTCTAGCTTTCACTAAACGTCTACCTTTCACTAAAGCTTCAGCCTCCTCATGATGATTGGGGTGGCCGCAGTCCTGGGAAAAGATTCTGGAGGCCTGAGCTTCCGGGGGTCTTACAACTATAATGAAGTCTTAGGACCCCAGGGACAAGGAAGGATGCTTAATCACCACTAGAGAAGACGGGCAAATGCACAGCTGGAGGAGAGTGAAGAGTACAGCCAGCCTGGACGCAGTGTATGAGGAGCTGGGGTAGACTAAAGATTCACATTGCCAACTGGGAACTAGGAGGACACAGAAGCAATGAGCCTAACTTGATGGAATTTACCTGTCTCTCTTCTATCTATATATGCACAATAGAATATCATTCAGACTTTAAAGACCAACATGTCATCACTTGTAGAAACATGGATAGGCAGGTGGGCACCCCGCTGAGTGAAAGAAGTCATATACATGAAGACAATTATCCTGTGTTCTCATTTGTGTGGAAGACAAAGTTGATCTCTAAGAAATAATTAAGTAGTGGATACCAGAGCCTTGGAGGGGCAGAGCCAGGGGCAAGGGTGGAAGATGATAGTTAATAGGGGTAGGGCTACAGTTGGATCAAAGATTAATAACATCTAATGCTCTCTAGCACAGCACAATAACTATGGTGGACAACAATGGACTATTTCAAAGCAGCTAATAGCATTTTGAATATTCCCAATGCTAAGAGGCAATGCTACGTCTGAGATAGTGGATATGCTAATGGCTGACCTGATCATTACATTCTGCATACATGTTTTAAAGTGCTATACTGTACTCTATAAACACATGTAATTACTACATGTTAATTAAAATGTTAATAACTTAAAAAATAAAAAAAATCAAATACATGTCATGTTTTAAAGGGGTGATAAGCATTTCCCAGTGTACTGGGAGCATACCTTGTTTATGTCCTCTGGGCTGGCATAGGAACTCACCTTGGCCCTTTCCTCTTATAAAAAGTGTCTTGAAGTGGATGACAATTTGGTCACCCTGTAAGAAGACACAAGGACAAGAAAAGGCAAAGAGTAAAGGGACGGGAAAGTTGCATTTGGTGCAGTAATCATAAGAAAGTTGACAGAGCTAAGTTACTAACCGACAAAGATAAATGCTAAGGGGGCCAGGGGTGAAAAGCACTGGCTGCTCTTGCAGAGACCTCAGGGCTGGTTCCCAGCATGCACATAGCAGCTTGCAACTCCAGTCCCAGTGGGTCTGACACCTCTGTGGGCACTGTGCACACATGGGTGGGGCACAGCCATGCAAGCAAGACACTCATTTACATAATATGAAAATCTTTGAAAAAAGAAAAATGTCAAAATTTGGCTTCACTAGGAATACAGATAATTACTATCTAAAGATATATAAAAAATGGAATTCCTTAAAATATCTGAGCCTACTCAACCCCTTCAAATACTTCAGACACTAGTAAGTGGGCAGGGAGAAGCAGCAGCTCCAACATGGCGATGAAGTCGAACTCTTCAGGTTGGTTTTAATTGTGTCTATGTATGTGGGTCTGTGTGGACGCGTGTGTCTGTGCCAGTGCAGGCGCCCTCAGAAGCCAGAGCAGGAGCGGGATGTGCTGCAGCTGGGCTGTGAGCCCCCCAGTGTGGAAACCGGGAACAGAACTCGGATCCTCCAACAGCAGGCACACTTCTGGCCACTGAGCTGTTGGGAGCCATACAGCTTGGCATGAACCTTTAGGCCAAACTTGGC